TCTTTGTCATTTATTACCAGTTTCCTATCTTCCTTTATCAGTGGTCAGTCTTCCGTTATGAACAATTTGTTGATGTATGGTGTGCGGAAGGGATCTAATCCCTTGGCAGCTACCACCACGATTTTCTCCTCGCAGAAGTTGTTGGTGTGGACCACTTGTCTCATCACTTGTTTAGGTAAGAGCTCACCATGACATGCTAGTCCCTGATTTCTTTCATCAACGGCAACAGGTACACGGCATCCTTCATTACCTTTTGAAGTAGATGATCGTCCTCAGAATGTGATGCATCCATCTGTCTGTGTATCATCAACTGAAAACCATCGCAAGTTACATACTGCCTACGGCCTGCGACGTTCCGCATGACTCAAACTGCATACCACACCTTCTCTAAGGCCGTACAACAAAGGAAAGAAGTTGGCCTTGGTTTTGGCTTTGGAATCTGCTACAGAGTTCACCTTGTTTTGGATTCCCAAATAGATAAGTTCGGACCACATTACACCATACTAACCACCAGTCCGCATTGACATCTGGCGATAGGAAGGAGCGAAGTGAGAAGAAGAGGAGTGATGAAGATAGCAGTGGAGGATACCATAACAATAGACTGATGCTGCGTACAAACTCTTGAAAGCATTTGACAATTGCTTACAATTTAAAACGAATCATCGCAACTTGTGGTAGGATTAAGTCAACATTCAATCACATTATTGGGAGGAAGTGAATAACAACCATGTGAATAGGTCCTGTCATTTCTTCTCCAGGATTTCTAATACTCTGAGGTTTCTTAAGGATGCGGTGTTATTGGCCGAATGGACGGCGGTGGTGTCGACAACATTTCCGCACTCTACTACAATTTAATGCAACACAAACCATCTTTCCTATCCACCTTTCCCGAAAAACGCTGGCAATTCTAAAATCAGACAAAGCTTGCCTCTGATTCGTTGCTTAGCATTTTTGCTAGCAGCATCGCCAGTTTGCGAATTTCCACTTTTCTCATTCATACCTGGCGTCACAAATACGTGACACGCGTTTATGGTAATTGGTTGAATTCAAAACAGCACATCATGTGTTAACTTTCATTTTTATGAGAAAACATAAATATGTTTTTAAACTTTTAAAAAATTATTGCTCTAATTTTCTGCCAAATCCTGGCAGCAGATGAGTAGAGTAGCTTGAATTCGTACGACATCAACTAAAGTTGAGTGATGGAGGAGGTAATCAGTTTTCTCCACAACAGCCATAATAATTAAACGAATTCGAAAAGATATAAAGTTTTTAGTTGGCCTTCGATTGGTGAGCAAATAAGCTACCAGAAAAATCACTAAACTCTCCATATAAGACCTCTATTAGATACGACCTTAAAAGGCTGCATTTAATGCCGTTCCAAGGAACTCCAAGCTTCAAGGCTGATCTCAACCCAATTAACCCTCAATTTAAAACAGACTGAGGGAGAAGTAGCAGCTTTACATCGAAATGTACGCCTTCTTTTTTTGTAGACACGGGAGTTTTCTGCACGGAGGAAGGCCACAGCATGCAATCCGGAGGTTAATTTACACTTGACATGTTTCCTCCAATGTCATATACTCACCCCGGGGTGGTCTACTCCAGCCTCACATACTGGTAGTAAATCTGAATAGGGGAGAGAAAAAAGCAGCTAAACAAGTGCTGTGAGAGTGGAGGCGCGGGAAGGCAAAGGGAGAGAGGGAGGAGGAGGAGGAGGAAGAGGAGGAGGGGAAGGCAGCAAGAAGGCAGCAGCAGGCGAATAAAAAACACCGTACTGACCGTGAAGAGGAGGAGAATTACATGGACAGAAGGATGGTCACGCGAGTTAGTTCTGTTGGTGGCAGTGGTGGTGGTTTTTTCCCGATTTGCTGCCGTCCAGCGCTATTATTTTTTTGCTCCACATCCTCTTAACCTCAATCCTCCTTCCTTACATGGTCAGCAGTGAACCGCTGCCACGCAAATGATGGAAGAGAGGAAGAGAGCCAGAAGCATTTGTCCACTCCTAGGATTTTCAAATCTAAAGGAAAGATAGGATTAAAAACGGTTTTGTAAATTTTTAAAAGCCATGGAAAGCAAATCTATTGTTCAAATTAACACGATTGGGATGACCGCAGATGCAAATCTAAGGAGCTGGGTGGGATGTTGTGAGCTATCAGAGATTGCAAAAAACAATCA